ACTAAACGAGCTGAAGAAATAGCATATAACTTAATGGAAATTTATACAAATTTTGGAGCGCCAGCAATTCTACATTCCGATAATGGGAAAGAGTTTGTTAATAGTGTAATTAATGAATTACATACTATGTGGTTTGTTGTTAAAATAGTGCACGGAAAACCAAGACATAGTCAAAGTCAGGGGGTCTATAGAACGTGCGAACCGGGACGTGGAAGATAAGTTGGCGACATGGATGGCGGATACAAAATCAACAGATTGGCCATCAGTTAAAAAAATACTTGTTTATTTATTGATTATTTATTAAGGTGATAGTAGATTAATTAATAATTATGTTTGATAAAAGTAATATTTAAATAAGCCAGATTAAATTTAAAAAATGTGGCATCTTTGCCTACTATCGTTAGGAAATGATAACATTTACTAGGCGATGATATAATTTCCTTCCGATTTTAGGAATTGTCAACATTTACTAGGAATTGTCATCATTTCCTAAATGTCAACATTTCCGGTAACATATACAAATAAAAATAAATGACTATATATTATTTTTGTCTTACATTGAATGCCATCGTACATTGAAATTGAATTTGTTATTTTATAATGTATATTAACATTTTGTAAATATGAACAAAAATAATAAAATATTAATAAATTAATATGTCAAATTATAGGCAATTCCTTAAAACAATTTAAATTTTCATTTTCGTATTTACAAATTTTTTAATCCCTTCTGTCGAATCCTTGTACAAGTATTTTTTCCTCATATTAGTGGCGAGTGGGTGAATGTCGGTCAGAGACAAAAACCGGTCATACTGGTAATCACCAAGATTGATAAAAATACGTTTTCTCGTGCAGCTGATTTCTCATTCAATGAAACCCTAACATTTTTGTTCTCGCCATATTATGTTAACAACTAATATCAGAATTTTTATTTCCTCATGACTAAATAGATTTTAGAAATGTAGTCATGGCTTTCCTTTTTTGCAAAGTTTACGTTTATATAATGTAATAAAATATTATTTATATTCGGACAAACCGGTCAAAACTGATCGGACAATACTAATCACTCATAATTATATAAGAGACAGATTTTTTATTATTTAGGTATTTCTGAAATAAAATTTCTTATTAATTTGAAAATATTTTATTTATTTATTAATATATAATAATTTGAGAACAAAATGCATTTTTACAAAAAAAATTACATGAATTTAAAAAAAAAATTCTATTTCCTATCCATTTACATGTATTTCAAACAGAAACGGCATTGCCCTCCAAGTTTTGTAATACCGGTCATTTGCAGATACTAATGTATCAATACAATTTAGGGCTAATTCATTCAATGGTATATTTGTCCAAACAATTAATTATTTTATATTACAATTAATAACCAATTTATATTAACCAATATGTAGGTGAGTATCTAATTATTAGGTAATCAACATAAACTACGAATCCTTATATTTTTAAAAATTCATCATAAAGATGCCATTAAATATTAGGTATAGGAGGGTGTGGGGGGCGATGCCCTCCATGGCTAATATTGTCACTAAAAGTATATTTCACCTAGTGATCTACTTATTTGCTGGCGTGCCTGTCTGTCATGATTGATTTTCGATTTAAATCAGGCTTAATTTCTTTTAAAGTAATTAACAGACGAATATACTTTTCTTCTGTTTTGTTCGGCAGTAAAGTATAAACAGTGGAAATAATGATAATCTCGTTAACACCAGTACATGTATTGTATACATTTGTGAAAATATTAAATTCAATGATTTAAACGTCAGCAACCCAATCACCATATAATAATGGCCCATTATGTCTAAATTATCATGTGTAGAAAATATAATAATTCAATCATTTGAAGGGCCGCTATCGTGCACCAGAAATTGTGCGTAATTTTTTTGTTTTTCTAAATTGTGGAATATCAAGGTCAAAGAGTGATTTTGGATCCTTAGGGACGCAGTCGTTCCTTTTGCAAATCTGGCAAAGTGTATTTTTAATCCAACTTATTGATGGCGTTGCTTCCAGAGTCCCACCACTCCAGTTGGTATTTGTGTAGCTCATATTATTTGTTGTGTTTATGTGTGATTAAATTAATTTTTCATATATTTTGCAACCACGATCCTTACATGAAGTTTACTTGCATCAGCTACGAGTGAATGATCTGACGGCACTTTAGTAATAGATTCGCTTTTAACTATCATTCGGCTTTTACATTGGTGTTCTGTGCGTCTTAAATACATTGTGTTTTCAACAGTTTTTTCCACTCAGGATCTATCGTAAATTTTCGATTTTTTATTTTTATTACTGAGTACTTATTCCATGTTAATATATTATTATTTACACTTAAGAAATTATACACGTAATTACGTAACACACGAGTACACGAACCACGGTTTAAGATAGAAATATAAAACCGTGACACGATAATGACACTAACCATCATCGATTACTATAAATTACACTGAAAAGTGAAAATGTACTTGTTTACTAATCTATCTTTAATCGTGGCCCGTCGATAAATCATTATCGAAATTTCCACCATCGATATTATTGACATTCGCTTTTATCCAGATTCGTCCAAACACCAGCTTTCGCTAAACTTAGCTCACTGTTTTTTTTCGCTATTTTTACGTGATACCTGTTATTCCATATTATATGAAAACAAAAATAATAGATTTGAAAACGTATGCATAAGAAATACAAATGGACAATCGAGGCTAAAATATGGAGTACCTATAAATAATTTATTATATTGTTTGTATTAGGTATGCAAATATAATTATTTTGTGACATCCCTTCCTGTACCACCTTGCTCTTGCCACTGATCAGGGCTATGCATAAACATTTTTTTTGTAATTATTTATAGCGGGTGTAAGCCGTTAGGTGTTACTTTGGGTTCTCAATAAATAGCCTTATTTAGTGGAATGTTTATAAAGTCTAACGCGTATGTTGAACACAAGAATAGTTATAAGGTGTACTCCAGTTATTAGTGTAAATAATATATTATATTATATTCATATTTGATAAAATATTATAATTGGTTAGTTATTTAAACTTATTTTGGTACATATTTCATGGTTAGATATAATTTGTAAGTTAAACATTAAAAATAAATATCTACAATATTTCTAAAGATAAAGCAGTTCATTAAAGTAGGTACTAACTACTATAAGCAGTAGTAAAAATTGCAGGATTAAAGATTTATTAAATCGTGGTAAATATCTACTAATAAGATATTTGCATTTGATAAAATATATAATCATTAGTTAAATTATTGTTTGGTTGTGTCCAGGGACGGACTGGGGCAACTATTCGGCCCGGGAAATTTATATTTTGACCGGCCCTTAAAATGTCGTCATCACTAAATGTAAGACTTAAATATGGTACCAAAGTTTTGACAAATAATGGTTGCATCCTCCACCTACTCATTTTTAATTTCCTCAGGAGACAACTTAAGATTCTCAATGTACCTATTTAGTATTTTATCTTAATTAAATGTACTGCACAGTATTATGTATATATCACTTTTTCTATTACCTACTCTATAAGTGATCCATAACGGATGAAAAAAATAGGTTCGTTTAAACTACTTTAACTTGGTTTTTCTAAGAGTATCCTTCTCTCTCTCTCTGATTTTCTCAACCCCACTCTTTCTTTTAGTTTCCATTTTAAACAACAAATAGATAAGTAAATATTACAAAATCATCAAACGATACACTAGTACACTACAATAAAATAAAAAAGAAGTTCAAGAATTCACTTTTTTGAATTAAGGACGTTACATTGAACGTACGAAACTGTACCTTTAGTTATCAGCTTATTAATTCCCATCAAATTATCACAAATTATCTTTTATATTTTACTATAATGTAGGTACAATATATGTATATTATATTTTTTATTGTGTACAATTTAATGTTAGTTATATTAAGTAAATACTGGCTGGCTAGAAGTGGATATATTAATCGACTGTAGAATAAAGTCATATTAAGTTATAAATAGGGCATATATATAAATGCAATAAAAAAAACAATGCCTTAAAAATACGATTTTATGCACAGTAACAATATTACAAAGCTTAGTAAAATTCCCAGAAAAATGAAAATCCAATTTAAATGAAAATAAAATAGAACTTAAAGAGGTAGGTATAGTCATTAGTCGTTAGTCGTCATATATTGTGTTTCATTATAATCACTTTTCAATCAGAAGCTAATCAATATTTTTGAATAAAAAACTTTGACAGTTAGAATTGGCAAGTGTTGTTTTGTATAACTGAAGTCATAGGAGTAAACAAAATAAAATAAAACGTAATAAAATAGAAATATTAGTAAGAAAAAAATGATTTTTAATTATATTAAATTTCTTGAAGGAACTTAAGCTAATAGTGTTTAGCTATATAAAATTGTATATATACTTATAAAATTTACGAAAAATTCCTTCAAACGATAAAAATGTCATAAAAACGTCAAAAAAATGTTCTATAAATCAGTAAAGTTAAAAAAATGCTAAATAAAAATTTAATTTTTAAATTATTTTATGTATGAAATACATTTTTTGATTGGAAAGCAATGTTTAAGAGAATCCAGAAAAAAATGCAATTTATCTTCAAATTCACACCCTAGTAGTTATAAATAATAATTTCTGTTTATGCATTGATGCCGAGTTGCTGGTCAACCAGCTGAACCGAAATCTAAAATCTTTAACACCAAATATAATATAAACATTTTGCACACTCAACAGTTATGATATGAAAATACAAAATATTTATAATTTATATTTATACCTACTGATTTTGTTATAAATAAATAATAATAGGTAACTAATTATTTTTGAGTAGCGGCCCACCGGGAAAGTTCCCGGTATCCCCCCGGCCCAGTCCGCCCCTGGTTGTGTCTGTTTACATATTATGGTTAATTATAGATACAAAATAAAATTGTTAAAATAAATGTATGTAGGTACTATTCCTATTTATCTTAATGTAAGCAGGCCAGCGGTTAAATTACATCTTGTGCTTCCTTAGCTATCCATTTGAGGTATGAAGTGACTTTTGTGTAGACGCCGGGGTATCCGACTTCTCCACAACTAATGCCCCAAGACACTACTCCAACATTAGTCCATTTTCCGTCTTGTCGTTGAACTAACAGCGGACCACCTGAATCGCCCTGAAAATAATTGTAATTAGGTAAGTACCTACATTATTATAAGTATACAATTTAAAAAATATTTTAACGTACTTTACAGGAATCTTTGCCTCCTTCATACGACGCAGCACAAAGATTTGTTTTGGATATTAATTGAGAAAAAGCTGAGACACACTTGTCATGTTCCCATATCGGTATTGTCACTTCTTGGAGAACGTTACTGACTTGACTACCAAAAACTGTTTGGCCCCAACCTAAATAATAATAATAAAGTAAATTCATTAATTCTGCAGCTGTAATCTTTTGGCATCTATACATTTTGTACTTCTCTTGGAAACCTCATTGAGGGACCTTCTTCTTCCAGAGTGGGCTAGGCCGTAGGTATCCAGAAATTTTTTCCCCGGGAGGGGGGTCGAAAACATGTATATTGCAATTTTATTGAAGAAATTTCGAGGTGGGAGACGAAAATGGTTTAAGTAGTAGGAATATTGTTTTATTTTAATTCATAAGACCGATTATTTAGATACTTAATAACAGGCGATGTGCAGTACATAATCATTAATCATTTAATATTAAATCAATATCATCTATTTAAAAATGTATTTGTATAGGTACTATAATAATAGCTACATACAATTTTAAACACTATTATTTTTATATACGATTCTTACCAGCCACGACAGCGTTTCTATTATACACTTCCATGTTTGTTTTAGGCAAACAAATAGGTCGAATAAACGAATTGTAAATTGTAGGCCTGTTCAACTTCACTATGGCGATGTCATTGGCGTGCGTAGCATGATCATAGTCTGGATGTAATCTAATAGAAGTTACACTGTAGTCAATGTATTGTGTCTCGTTGTCAGTGGTAAAATCATATTCACCAAGTCTAACAACAACATTTTCTTTAGTATAACTGAAAGATATAGACTCACTGTTAAATATGCACGGCTACAATTTATTAATTTATTTTTTTAATATATAAGGACCTGTATATAATATGTAGTGATGCTCAATAGTATTTATAAATACTAAATGTTTAGGTTAGGTAGTAAAATATTGAAAAAGTTTCTATCAACCAAATTGTAGTTAGATTTGTATACCCGTATTAGTTATTAAAACATGAAGACGGCATAATGCCATGATTAATAAGGAATATTTTATATAGCATTAATTGTGTTAATTTACTTAATAGTTTGTATGAACTTAGAAAGTTAGAAATACATTATAAAACAATGAGCAGCAGTCAACACGAATCGTCTATTAAGTAATACTCCACCGCAGAAATTCATATAGTTTGTTGTCTCTAAAAACACCGCCATCCATGGCCAATCATTGGCTTTAGCATTTTGCACATTCGAGTAGTTAGATAAAGACTTGGTGTTTTGTCCACATTCCGGTTCTTCGTGTAATGGTTTAATAAGCTCTGGCGCTAGTATATCTAGAATTTTATCCAAGTCTGATTCTTCTTCCTCATAAGTCAATCTTTTTTCTGCATTTAGCCGAATAATTTTATTTACAGGGCAGCAAAAGCCCATTGGTCTGGGTAAAAAAAAACGAGGAAGATTAGAAGAGTACTTAAAAAGAGATAATAGTCATTATTTAAGAAAATCATTTTTAATTAATCAATAGTATGTTATGTCTTCATTATAATGTACCTACTATTAATTAGTTTTAAATTGTTTATAAACTAAAAAAAAGTCAATTAGATATTGAACTTTGAAAATCTTCCGCTTTAGTGTCCAACCCTGTTTATTATATTTTGTCATATTATAGTATTAAAGGTCGAGGTCACACGTCCTGGGGGCCTATTCTTGAAAGTAGTAGAACGATATTCGTATACGAACCATTCTACTGGTAGATATTCTACTACCAACTCAAAACCGTATTCTTGAACGCCAATAGAATAGTTGGTAATAGAACCGGTCGTGCACGAATATTATTCGAATGGTGCGGAACGGCAACGTCGCAATGCCGTCCGTTCATTGGTCGAAATTTGTATGAGCACGCGCAATTAGTGGAAATTCAAAATACAAAATAATATTTCAATATTACACTCTTTTTTTTTTATAGCGACCTTTCCGTTCTCGATCCCTGTGTCTCTTTTTGTTTTACTTCTGTTTTTTTTTTGTACGATGGCGAGAAAGTCGATGACACCGTCACAAAAAGAAGCTTTGGTGGAATTTATGGAAAACCACCCCGATCTAAGGAAAGGTAAGTTTTCCATAAATTTTACAACGGCAATAGCAAAAAAAAATGTGGGTGGAATGCCAAACTAAGTTAAACAGCATCCCCGGACCGGCCAAAGAATGGTATGAATGGCGAAAAGTAATAATTGATACCTACTTAATAATTGAAGTTTGTATTATATTATAAATATTGATGAAACAAACAGAAATTCTAACATAAGATATTAAAAAAATATCTAAAATAAAAATATTTACCCCATAATCAAATATTACTGTAGGTACATGTTTAAGAAAATAGCTCTAGTATTAATTTAAATTAATCACTTAACATATTTTAAAATATTAAAAAAAAAAAAAAAACATTAAGTCGACAATTAATTAAGCATTTCTGTTTTAGTAGGTACTTCTCGAAATATTTTTGTTATTAATTAAATAATCCCTAAGTCATAACATCAAAAGGTGATTAATATATTTTAATAAACCTTATTATTAAATATTAAGGGATACATATTAATACATTATATATATAATTATATAGGTAGGTTAGGTATAATTATAGTTAGGTTTAGGTATTTCAGTTATATTATTATACAGGATGATCATTTTATCATGAACTACTCACTATATCAAAAACTATTAACTTTTAACGTTTTTGAAAATATTATTTTATATAGCTTGTATAATCTGTTGTTACAAAATAATCTTTTTTAAAAAATTATATTTTTTACCATTTTTTATCGTAATTTTTTATTTACTTGAACGTAACGTCGTAACACATTCAAATATAATGTCAGCCAATGACAAAGCCGAGTCTTGATTTTAATAAAAAAAATATATATTAATATTATATTCTGAAGCAGGAATATCTCTTGGAGTATTTTAATACTTACATAAAAATCAAATTTAGAGTGGGAGTGGTACAAGTACCTCGTAAAATGTTTATCTATTACTCCACTTATATTCTACACTTTCACATAATATTTTGTATATTTTACATAGGTACATAATGTTGCTTAACTTTATATTGATCATAGGTAGGTACATAATGTTGTTTAACTTTATAATGATCATAGGTATTAGAAAAAAATTTGTCTATCTGATAATGTACTGCTGCAATTCAGAATTTTTATTCCTGGCAATAGAAAAGTTAAGATAAATCTAGAACATCATACACCGAATATTAAATAACGCATTGAACAATGTTTGAGTCATATAGAGTTGATACATTTAACGGGAAACGAAGTGCACGGAATCAGCTAGTATAATATATAATACATTAATATTGGTATAAATAATAATATAATTAAAAAGTGTATTAGCTTAGGTACTAGGTTCATATAAATGCGTAATTAAATCGGGCGCCATCACAGCGTAAATGATTATTCGTATACGAATAATAGGATTCTACTACGATACACCACACGACCCGTTCGTAGTAGAATCCGGTAGTAGAATAGAATCCGTTCGTATACGACCGGCGTTCAAGAATACGGTTTTGTCAAAGTAGTAGAAAAAGTACAAATATTCGTATACGACTATCGTTCTACTACTTTCAAGAATAGGCCCCCAGTACGGTGATCTCGGAAGTGCCGTGTGGACACATTGTTAATTAATAAATAAATTAGATATCAAGTCTCTCTGTTTAATAACGATTGATATATTGTTATACAAGTTAACTATGGGCATACTAACACAGTAAAACGTGTTATTGATACATTAAGACAACAAAGAGTATAATTGATACTGGGTAGGTATGTAAAGTGTGGGTTATGTCCATAATAATAAGTGACACCAACTTTATTATTCGTTGAGTCCAATGACGAGAAAAAAACCCAACCGATTATCGGTCCGACGCGGATTCCTTAACTCCGCTACTCCAACCGTTATACGACGAGATATAGGTGATAGACCCATATAAATTATACTAAGTATACCTTAGTATAAGGTATATATGGGTAGACCAAAAAGGAACTCTAAAGTTAATAATGGAAAGGGCCGGTGATAGAGTATCAGCAGAATCAAAGAAAATCATCAATTATTGTCGTATACGCTGATCAGTGGTCGGGAGTAGCGCGCTAATTGTAGCGACGCTACAGTAGCACGCTACTTTAGCTGTAGCGATTAACATAGCGTCGCTACAGTATATACAATGTAGAGAAATACTATAGCGCGCTAGAAATATACGGTTAGCGTAGCGAAAATGTTCATTATTTTATCGCTACTTCTAACCTATTTCATGATAATTAAAATATCATGATGTATATTTATTTATTTAATTAAGATGACAAGATGAGTGTATTTTTGATTTTTTCGGCTTTAGCCCGGACCGGACTAAGATAAGACAGGATAGATTAGACTATAATCATAAGTGCATTATTACAATGTAATATTTTATATTATTGAAAACAGAACCATAAATAATATTTAATATATTAGTATTTTATTATCACTATTTTTGTTTTCGGAATTCAGCGTTTTCTACTTTTCTGTGTTTCTTTTAAGTTTTAAATATTTTGAATAGTTGAATTAAAAATGGCAGAACCTGAAGCCACCACCTCATATTCAACTAGTTAGCAATTTTCAATAAAACGTTTATTTGTTTTGATTTTTGTTACAAAAATACATGAGTTACACTTAATAAACCTGCCTTCCGAAATTATAAGAAAATAGTGGTAGGCATTAACAAATAATGACCAAGTACTCAAGTGAATATCTAAATAAACAAAAAAAAATTTTTAAAAAAATGTAGCGAAAAAGTAGCACGCTACATTTAAAAAATAGCGTTAGAAATAGCGCACTACATTTAAAAAAAAGTAGCTTTAGCGATAGCGAGCTACTTTTTTTTGGGAGTAGCAGTAGCGTTAGCGTGCTACAAAAAAACAGTAGCGTCCCGACCACTGACGCTGATCACTTCAGACTTCACACTTTTCAATCGAATCACACTCTCACCACACTCTGACTTTAACACTGGTGGCCAGTGATAATCGAGACACACGATCACCACCTATCATAGGCGTAGGGTGATGCATTTATGTAGGGGGCTATAGCCTATTATGTTTCTGGTAAACAACAAATATTCTAAAAATTAACAAAAAAAAAAAAAAATACGAAAGGGGGGCTAACCAAAATTCCATGGGGGCTGTAGCCCGCTTATACTCCCCCATTCTGCATCTCTTCCCTCTTTCTGTCTTCACATATTACTTATATATACATTTTACTATCGAAGCCCAATCGGATTGGATACCGTGATTTTATGTCCTTGTCTAACATACGTGCGACATAGGATTTTCTACTAATTTTATTTCAATCAGTCCAATCGTATTGATGCAATAAAAATTCTGAGAATTTATTTGAATTCAGCGTAAAGACTTCTTGAGATCCGTCGGATAAAATTTTTTATTGTTTGCCTCAAAATTCCACAAATTTGATTTACATTTTTTGAAAAATATAAAATCTTGTAGTAGTGTTTAAAAATATTATTAAATAAAACTGAAAAAGTGGCCCTACCGGTCTCAAGTAGTCTTCACGTTGAATTCAAATTAATTTTCAGAATTTTTATTGCATCAATACAACGACTGGACTGATAGAAGTAAAATTAGTAGAACATCTTATGTCGCGCGTGTGTTAGACAAAGACGGCAATTACGGTATCCAATCCCCTTAAGTTTAACCTAGTTACATTGTACTTATTGATTACTATGCTTAAAATTATACTAATTGTTATTCTATTAAATAATTGTTATTTTAACCTAATTTGTTGGAATGTTTCTATGTTGTTACTTAGCTTATTGAATATTGTATGATTTGTTTTGGTATTTTACCTGTTACATATAGTATGATTGTTTACTTAAACTACCTAGTTAATAGTTTTAACTGTAGTATTGATTTATATATTATGCATGATACAATATAATAGTCTGCTTCTGAAATAAATAAACTATACAGTACACTATAATATGTATCGTTGGGCCACCGTTTGAGCCAATGCATTTATTATAAATTAAATAGGTATCTATTATATATAAATCGATTGCTCCAGAAAAATATTATAACCAAAATATTCACTATAATATTTTTAGATATTTTATTTTTATTAAATATACAAAATATGTTAATGTTAAATGTTAACTGAACTACATTGTAAAAATAATACATTTTAATATTTGTTCAATTCAATATACGTCATGTTTAAGTTTATAAGTTCTAAAATATCTTAGATAAAATAAAATATGATGAAAATAAGTGTTGAAAAAATAAATCCAAAATCTAAAATATATCTTGAGATGAGACGTTCATGGTTTATTATTAAATTGTTTCAATGTTTGTAATAGTAACTTTCTGACTTCACAAATTGTATAATGATTAAATACTTATAGTTTATGATCTAAGTGTACCTATATATCGGGGCATCGGGCTGTTCATGCCTATGAAACATTGAACAATTGGTAATTAAATTAAAATCCCTACAGTAACTTTTTTATAGGTCTTCGTAATATTTAAAAAAAGAATTGAAGTTTATTCACGTTTGTTGCAAAACTATAGAAAGTACCTTTTTCTATAAATTCATATTAATAACAATCAAAATGAAATGACAAAAAAATTGCATTTTTATATATTATAAAAATATACCCTACATTTAAAATATTTTAGTTTTATATAGGTATAAATTATAAATAATATATTATTAAATATATTTCTTAAATGCACATATTTTTATTTAAATAAATAAATAAATATTTATTTTATAAACTCTGAAATGCTTCGTAATATATGTATATATATTTTCAAAAGTGTGATAAAAATTTTGTTTATAAGACATTTATATGAATTCACAAGTTCATATAATAAGTGTGTGTTAAACAAAAAATACATTACAACTAAAAAAAATGTATTAGATTTTTAAATAGGTACCTCTACCTACTACCTATATTTTGTATGTAATATATTTCCAAGTTTTGGAAATTTATTTTACAGTAGGTAACGCTCCTTAATCCTTATGTAATATTTATAATTTTAAATAAAGTTGAACTTTAGTGTATTATACATTTATACTCACAATTCATTTCCCAATTTACATTTTTGTTGATTTTGAGGTTCTAAATGTATATCACATTCCAACCTAGAAACACATTCTGTGTTTTGGCGGCATATTTGATCACCCTAAAACGATTAAAGTTGATCACGTCATGAGTATATTATTATAATTTATACAAATTAGATAATAAGATTAATTTAATCGTCATATCGATATTATTATAATAATTACCTGTTTCCTGTTCTTTTCGTATCTAGTCCGTACCAATTGACCTGATAAATATGACGATAACAATAAATTAATTAATCAACTATAAATTACAATTTACAACTATTTTGAATTAATATTTTTAAATATTTATGTAATAATTGCAGTGCATAAAAAAACTACCTGCAGTGGCCCGAAGACCAACGACGAGCAATATACACAGTGGTAACAAGTAAACGTCAACATTTTTTAATAATAACATTTTAAGACAATAACTTGTTAGTTGTGTTCATCTCAGGAACAAAGTGTTTCGTTAAGTAGGTACCTATAGTTATGGCGTTCATAATGCACGCTCTTACGGTATAGGAACAAATGTGATGTCATTGGGACAATATAGCCATATAGGTAATAATATAATATTTGTTATTGGGATAGTAAAAATAAACGCGTTTAGTCAATCGTTCAAAATGTATCTCCCCACAACGTGACATCAACACAACTTTTATCGTTTGATAATAATATATATATGCTATTGCATACCACTGCAGTATAGATATGGACCGTTAGCCTTAAATAAAAAATATACATTCATATTCAATTAAAAAAATATTGATTAATGTATTTATGTATTCACACATAAAAATATAATTATAATTAAAAATTAAAAAAATTATAAATTACAGGCTTGAGGTTTTAATGGCAAATATACAAGATTTTTATTTTTAATACACACATCTACGTCTTTTTGATAGAACTAAATCATTGATATAAATATATAATTGACTCAAGTGGATATTATTTAATTTTTAAAAAACTCAATAGGTAGAACCAGATGCGCAGCATGGATTATGTAAGGGGGGAGGGTTTACGTATAAATTTAACTACATTTTTTACAGTTTTCGTAAATAAATAATACATTTATTAGGAGAGGAAAAGTAATGTGTGTGGAGGTACCCTATCTACGCCACTGGCCACTGGTTAGCACATCTTATGTCATCGTGAATAATATAAAATGAGTTTTCAAATTAATTCATGAATTCATGATGTATTAAAAATTTAAACGATGAACAACTATTATTATGAATATAAAAGTCACCGAAAACACAACAAACACACACTAGAAGTGCTTTTATCGTTAAATAATATTGCCATCGTATACTTTTATAAATTACAAATTTTAACCGAAGTGGTATACAATGGTAGCTGCAGTATACCAAACGATAAAAAAAGGAAAACCTGGTCGGGAGGTATAAACTTTAAGCTATCGATTTCGACCAGAGCATCGTCGTGGTGCTGCATATAATATAATAAGTACACAAGTTACATATAATATTTATTTCGTTGCAAGAACATTAATTAAATTATTTATGCTCAAATCATTGTAGGTAGTTTATAATCATTTCGGCTGTAAAACAAATTAGGTACAGGTAATCATGCAGATAATTTTAATTTTAACTGCACAATATCACAAAATTTTAATTTATTTAATGGTGTACAATGGCTATGTAACTACTTACTTGTTTAAATAATAGCATTAAGTATAATGATAATAGGTATAGACCATATTATTTATTTTTGTTGGTCTTCACTAATCATTATCAACTCCATGATGTTTTCATGGCAGTGACCAAACATACAGTATACATAATGACACTTTGTTCGAAGTTTTGAATATTATGTACTATTAAATTTAAATTCCTTAGTTTAAATATTGTAATTATAATATCTATCCAATAGATAAATATATAATATATAGTAGTACAAAAGTAGTATATCAAAATAATATTGCAGAGTCATTAAATTAAACCGAATAAATTGTAAAATTATAATATAACCTGAAACGGCTAAACAGTTTAATTCTTCCTTATTTATAGAATTAAAATTATTTAGATTTCATGGTATTGAATTTATTTAAGAATTTACAGCTGAGCAGTTGACATAATAACTCAAATAGTGTTATGTAATCAGTCGTGTTTTCAGAATAATTACTTAACTATGCAGCTTGAAAGCTCAACTCTAGGGAGTTCGGAATATTCGAAATTTTAATATTAATAAATTCTTTGTCTAATTAATGACAATTACCAAAAATTAGGTTAGGTTAGGTTAACCTATCCTAATATTTCTGCAACCTGAGATGGCGAGAGTTAAATAAAATACTGATCGTCAAATACTTCAAAGAATGTATGATGCATACACTCAAATTAGGTACTTATATAAATGATACATTACAATTTATCACATTTTTATTTTCACTAGTTTTGATGGATTGTTACAACACCTTAAAATATTTCAAACAAAACTAGTTCCACATGTCTATGGAGAATTGATAAAGTATAAAGTAAACATGCGTAATTCCTATAAATGTACAACAACACATAGGTACGTGCAATTGATTGGATTTTTTTTTTTTTGAGACCATAAAAGACCCGAAAATATATAAAAAGTAATCGATAGAATCCAACGAATAACTAATAAATAAATATTTTTTTTTGCTTTCGACACAACAGCACACAGGCACACAACTATATAGGTATATATATTGTTAAAATTGTTAAAATATTAGTATACCGTTTTCAAAATGCGCTATAGTGACATTTTTATAGGAAGGGGATTTGGGACTTTCGCATCAATCAATAAAAATTACCTAACCTATTATAATACACGATTTTCTATTTCATTAACATTTTTTTTTTTTTATAACAGACACAAAGTATGTATGTCGATTCCTGCACTCGAGTTCAGCACGAGACGTTGGTTAGTAGCACACAGGAAAAGAATTGTGTGAAGGGCTGACGAAGGAAAAAAAAAATATAACCTCTAGAGAAGTATTAATATACGCACACTGATATTATACACAGGCACACAGCGTATAAAATACTTTTGGTTGTTATTGCGGCACTGCTGCCATAATAAGATGTCATTATGTTTGTGCTGCCTCGCATGGCATACAACAATATGCAGTAAAAATCATAGAGGTACGGTATTTGAAATAACCCAGCCTTGTATGCGAAAAACATTATAATACACGAGATTTAAAACGGCAGAAATAACATTTTTATTTCAGTTTTAAAATTGGTATTTTATATTGTGAAGTCGATGTTTAAAATATTTAAATTTTCTTCAAAACGTTTTAAATAAAAAAAAAACGTCCACAAGCTACGTCGGTATAAAGATTGCTTTTTTTATATAGTTGTATATATATTAATACTAATATGTACCTATATAATATACTTGTCCTTTGGGGTCTTTGAGCTCTTCATTAAAACCTTGATCAATACCGAAATGCAAAAAAAATAATTACGCATTAGAACGAACACCGTTTTTTTTTTTTTTTTTGAACTTTGTATACACCTTAAAAATATATTATATTTTCCTAAAAAGAATAAACTCATTAATCTTTAAGAAAAAAACTTATAATAACACTAGAGTTGTATTTTCGTCTACGTCTTTGAGGCCCGACAATATACGCTTAATTAGGCCCCTAAGCTAGCAAAAGGTCTGCAAGCACTCACGTGCACCTATACACACCTAGGCACCTAATATATGTATATATGCTATATTATTATACCATGCGTGTGTATACAAGAAACGGTTCAAACAACAATACGATGTTAATCAAAGACATATACTTATTTAAAAAAACAACGGGTCGGCCAAATCATTGCATTCCTCAGCAAATATAATATTATATTATATTCTGTGGTAATGTGCAGGCTAGGTATGATCACGATAAGTATTTACCTACATCTAGAATGTTATTTTAACACGCGGTATACAGTAAATTCCTTCTTATATAAAGTGTATTGAGCGTGTGTGCTGCAGGTATATGGAAGTTTAAAGAGGGCGTAGAATAACTTTTAGAATAGTTTTAGAAACTTTTAAGCTGCCGACCACCACACATCTATACAATTCGATATAATTTGTTAGATAAGAGTTGATAATGTAGAACTAATTGGCTGTTTAGATAAATAAAGTTTCTAAATAAATCAAATTCACAGGTCAATCGAAGCGACTTCGTTTTTATTTTCCGCTGATTGGGCGACTAATCTAAAATAATAAATATGTTGTCCAATTAGTTCACGGCTGTGTTACATACAAATGACAAAATCGATGTAAGTATACGTAGGTAGGTACACAACAATATTATCAATACAAATCCTCGACGACTTAACAGTGTTAAGACCAGTATAGCCACAGTGGAGCAGCTAGGAAGGGTGAAAATCACCAGTACTATTATAATATGTGTAAATATTATGTTATTTTTTGTCTTATTTTTAACTCATTAACATTGTAACATATAACACTATATTTTATGATAACCTGCGTACTTAATATAAAACTTTAAAAAGAATTGTTGTGTATTATATAAATTGAACATTTTGAAAACTAAATCTAAACGAAAGAGTATTATAATAGTAAGTTGTAAATCTGACTGTAGTGTACCTAATATTAAATAGGTGAATACTGCATAAAAACGTATGTTTTTCTAAAAATATCAATGTGATTTAATGTCCATATTAATTTTAAGTAAGTTCTAACAATTATAATTTTCAAACATTTTTAATGTTACTTAAAACTTTAGTTTATTTCAATATTTGTTCACTAGATAATACCTAGTGTCCTAGTTATATTAAATAATCATAAACTTTTACATAGTCAGATGTTTATCATGTTTTTAATAATACATTAAAACATGAATCAATAACAGAGAATAACTTACAAATTATTTTGTTATAGTAATATATTCCTGAAAATAAACTATTTACACTAATAATATACTAATCAATTAAAACTTTTAAAAAACCACTATGTAAACTGTTAGATAAATTATTATACTTGTCTTGTTTTTATTACATTAGCTGCACACATGAAAATTACGTCATATTTTATCGTAAATGTTATATTATATGTACACTAAATTTATCATTTAAATGTATAACTAAAAAAGTGAGTGTAACTCAAACAGCATTTTTTTTAAAATTATTTAAGCGCACAGAAGCATTATCAAGTAAATGAAAAAAATATCAAATAATATAACAGTATCATACGTTAATTCAAGATCAAAACTTCGCTCTGCTATTATAGGTAAGTACCTAACCATATTTAAATGTATATTATCATAAAATGAACATAATGATATGTTAAAAATAATATATTAACCTAGGTACTAAATTATGTTTATATATTGAGCAGACCATGGAATCAGTGTTTACCAACATTTTTGTTTAATAACAGAGTTATCAATATTCTGATTTTTTGGAA